ACTTAAAATTAATGATATCACCACCCTCACACGTATGAAAACATAGCGCAAAAATAAATTTAGGTGAAGTGGTGAAATCTCACCTCTTTTTTCACCTCTTTTTTCACCTCATGAATTCATTGCTTTATAACTCTCTTCCTTGGTTTCTTTTTAGTTGCTTTCTTCACGTCTGTCTCCAACTTGACTGTCTTTCTTCTTCGTCCGTAATGATACCAGTTACTTCCACCAGTCAATGGGTCAAATGGTCTTTCGTAAGGGTTTCCATACATTCCATAGGGACCATACGGAAGAACTACTGGTGGAGGAAGAGTTCCATCGACTCTATTTAAATGCATTGTTTCACCTTTCATCTGGTCATTAAAGTCTTTTGCGTGTTTTGCAAACTCATCGTCCTTTCCTAAAGCATTTTCTGACTCAGTCGCAACCAAATTGGATGCTTTATTTATGAGCCCTATTTTATTTAATCTTAACTTCTTTGCAACCCAGCCTCCAATCTTCCTTTATTTGCATCTAATGTCTTCGAAACCCTTCCTCCACTCATTTTATTTACTGCGTCATAAGCTCCAAGTGCTTTTGCTCCAAATGCTAATGCTTTTGTTCCCATTGCGCCTAAAGCTGCCCAAGCTACCATTTACACCATATTAAAATCATCTCTCTTCAATATTATCTCATAAAAGTTCTCGTTACTGGAGAAAGTCAATGAAACATAAACATTCTCACGGGCTTCGCCCTCACCGCTTTGCGGTCTATCTAACTTCTTTCTTATCTCATCTATTCGCTTCAAAATGTCTGAACAATTGCTAACATCTTCTACAACAGTTATTTCATCATGACTGACCTTCAAGAACAAGCTCATTTAATATGCAATTAAAATCATCTCAATAATGAGTCCATCCTTTCCATCTTTAGGTAGCACAACATCTTTCATTGAAGAAGGTTCGACAAGTCTTATGTTAAACTTACTGACAAAGTTTGTTATACTATAATGCTTCGGGCGAATACATGTAGTTTGAAAGACATAATATAGATTCTTCAGCAAATTCACTTATACTGGATTTTATAACAATGTTCTCACGAGACCAAATACCACCAATTGACAATCTTGTAAGCAATCCTGCTGAACCTTCTACTGTAAACGTCGATGGTAACATTCCACGAAGGTCATCTATTGACATCGTTGAGTCACTGAATTTAAATATTTTCTTAAAGCAATCGTCATTATCTAACCATGCAATAGCTTTGAAGTTTTCATTCGAATATACATCTGCTTCATTAAATGTAAAACCTGACTTCTTTGCAGAGATGACTTTAAAATCTATTGAGTTTGTTTCAAAATTATATGCTATGGTAACTTCTGAAGGTAATGGATGCCCTTCCGCAGTCAGTTGTTCTCTCACTACCGTTTGAAGCTTTGTGTTAAAAACTTTCATGTCATCTCCTGTGTCTAGGTTCACATACACAGCAATGGGAAAACTATCTTGCTTCTTTGTTTCATCATTATACCTCAAAACATTAAAGTTCTTCAATAATATTGTCCTTCCTGCTGGAATACTTCGAACCTGTCTGATTTCAATAGCTTTCTCACCTCCTACATACTCTACCCAGTGTCTTGGATATTCATAAGTATACTGACTTTCTTGAATTTTGGTTGGTTTCATCATAACGTGTTCATAGTATATCTTTATACTCTTGTCAGTTAGACTCGGTGCTATGTTCTGAATATTTCTGACTTGCATTTTTAATGGAGATAAAATGAAGCATTTAATACATGACGTAGATGAAGACATGAATGAAACTACAGACAAACTTAACTCTTCTCTCATTCTTCCTTTCAGCAAAGATTATGATTCTGTTCAAATGGTGTGTATTTCTATTGTGGAAAGATGGGTTCAGGTAAGACATTTAACCTCATTCGTCATATACTCATAACAGAGCGTTTAGGTCAAGATTCATATTATGACCAAATCATTATATCAGCAACTTCAGACTCTATGGACTCAACAGCGAAAACATTTATGTCAAAAGTTCAAGCCTCTGTCGTTAAAGTTCCAGATAGTGAACTCATTGAATTTCTTCAACGTTACGTTCGACGTAAGAGGAAATATTATGCCATCGTTGAATTTATACAGTCAGGAATGCAAAAGACTTCAGAAGAGATGGAAAGAATTATTGACAAACACCACTTACGTCAATACTCAGGAGTTTACGATATGAAACGACTTACAAACTACATTCTGTCAAAACTTTCAAAATACCCCTTCAAAAAGTATCCTTCAAATACTCTGCTCGTTTGCGACGACTTCGCCGGAAAAGGTTTAGTGTCAAAGCCTGACTCACCATTAGCTAACATCATTACTAAAGTCAGACATTACCACTTAACTGTAGCAATACTTATGCAAACATGGCGTTTTCTTGCTTTAAACATAAAACGTCTCATAACTGACTTCGTTATCTTTCAAGGTTTCTCACGTTATGATATTGAACTCATTTGGAAACAGTCAGGTATAACATTACCTTTTGAAGAAATTTGGGAAGCATATAAGTCTCTCATCTCTCCTCGTTCATACCTTGAGATTCATATCATGACTAATACCATTAAAGTCAAAAATATTCCATGGGAACGACCAACATTGTTTTAAAGTTTAACCTTCAATTGACTGATGGTAAACAAATTCCATGCATCTCTGTCGCCATTTCTGTTAATATTTTTGCTGTCATTCATATCATCCACTTCTCCATCCGTTAGCTTTTGAGGATATGCGTTAGAATAGCTGTTCTTAAATGAAGGCTTTTCACCTTTGAGAGCATAAACTCTATAACTTTCTGCATACTTTATGTTTGAACCTCCTGAGCCATCATTGACATAAATTTTTATAGGCTTCCACCCTTTGTTCATGTTCCTGCTTCTTCCCTTAGCTCTTTTGTTCAGTAGTTCTACATCTTTATACACAGCACCTGTCTCAGTGAATTCAACAATATTTTCATTCGTTAGCTTTACATTCAAACCCTTGTCGAGTATATTGTTCATTTCATACATATAAAAGGTTTTTATTCTATATGAAATGAGAAGCAAATCCATCTTAGCTGGTGCCGTTAATGTTCCAATTGAACCAACATCAAATGTTGACTCACGAACGACAAACAATATTGTCATAAAGAACTATAGTTCAGAGTGTTTGAAAGAAAAAGAACCAGAACTGAAATCCGTGAATTTAAACTCAGCTTCAAACGCTAACGCTACATCAGATGTTAAGTTAGAGTATCCACCACTGGACCAAATTCTTTCAAGAGAAGCCAACGACAACCCTTACACAAATGTTCAAACAAATCCTTCAGATAACGTAGACCATTACCTTCTTCAGTTATACCAAACAATTTTACTCAAAGACGATAAGAAGCTTTTGACAAATCTTATAAGCAAGAACCAAATAATTCTAACAAAGGAGGACCTTGAAAATGTTATATCACGAATAACAGGGAAACAATGTGTCATTGACTATCTCGACCCTGAAATCGAATGCTGTGGTCAAACGCCACCATTCATGAAAATAGGTAACATCCGCATCATTGAAACACCAGGAACTACAGGAGTTGAGTTTAAGTATAAATATTCGAACGAGTATACAAAACTTTCAACAGAATATAAGCTTTGTTTGAAATATGTTTTAGTAAATTAAAGCAATTTGTAATATCTATCCAAAACTTCTTCAACAGTATCGAACTCATCTTCATAATGCAAACCTAATCTTATTGACTTGGTGCAGTTTTCACTAACACAATATAGCGCTTTGCGCTCGGCGCCTTTGACGCCTTTTTCTGTTCTCTTGACTGACATAACTAACTCATTTGTTTCATCAAACAGCAATAACCAAAGTTCATGACCTAATACATAACATTCATACTTTATATTTTTAGCTCTGAGTTCTCTTGTAAGCTGTTGCATTTAATATTTTCTAAAAAGTCAACTTCAACAGTCATTCGCACTGGTGCCTTCAGTTCTACAGGCTCTCCTTGAAAGTCAACAAGTCTGAATTGCATGTCTTTCAAATTATGAGGACTAATGCGAACCCATTTACCTAAATGAGTTACTATGACAGGAACGTTTGGAATGAACATTGAATTGACTGCATAACAGAAGGATTTATATTCTACTGAACCTTTACTATTAACTCCTGAAATACCTGTGACATTAGCTATTTTTGACTCAACGTATAAACAATTACCATAACATACGTATGGAACAGATTTCATCTCAATCGTTTTGTCAACACTTTTCAAAGGACATGTCATATGGTATGCTCCCAGAAGCAATTGAACTCTATGACTCATTCGTGTTATCTTAAACTCCTTCGCATAACTGAACTTCAAAACTCCTGCAATAAGTTTAACATTCATTAAGTTTTCTTCGTTCTCCTTGTTTATTGTAGTATTTATGAGCGCATTTAACACTCCAGCTAATGTTTCCATCTTATATTCTACATTATTGTGAAATCTTATTTCGTGCTTCTTTCCATCTATTTCAAGCTCCATGAAATCTGTTTCATCTGTTATAACGAATGAAGCGATAGTATTGAAGTCAACAACTCTGAAAGCAAGCGCTTCATTCTGAAGACCTAAGTTTGTTTGTAGCTTTACTGTCCCGTATTCGTTTGGGTCTGTACTTTGCAAATAGAACAACATTTTATTCTCATTAAAATATGAGTATTGCTGCATATGCGTATGAAGCTGACAGAGCTAAACGTTTATATTTTGGTCAATACTCTCTCACACTTACTGACAAATATATTGTTATTTCTGATGGAAATACCGAGAAATACATAACATGGAAGGACTATGAAAAGTTTGACCCTATTTTAACTCCATGCACTATGCCATTCATTGTAAATGGTGAAGTTGTCATGAAGAACGACACAACTGTTTATAGGTCTGTATATGAAGCGTTAGAATATATGTTGAATTATAATCCCGAAAGATTTGACCCAAGCACTACGTCATGTACAATGCCTTTTATTAAGGATGGTGAAATCGTAAGAGTTCCGAATTCAACGGTTTACACAGCTGTTCAAAACAGTTTACAAAACATTTTAGCGAATATCTTTAATTCAGAAACTACAGAAATAAAATTACCATATATAACAGATGCTAAAGAAATTAAATCAAAAACGACAACATTATTTACGTCACTTAATGATTTAATGACTTATATCATTAATATTCCTGCACCAACTACAGCATTTGATCCAAACTCGACGGTTTGCAGTGTACCTTTCATAAAGTCGCAAACGGACTCTTTGAGTCCTGAAGGTCTTTCAGACCGAAGCGACCAGGGCGAAGCCCATGACAGTTCATTAATTGTTTTAAGGGATTCAACAGTTAATGAATCATTAAAGGCGTCATTAATGAAAATCATTGATTTTAATTCATTCACGAATACATATAATTCATTCATTAATGTTTCATATGCTTCTAAAGAAGGTGAGCCAAAAACTATCGATAAAGCGGTGTATGAAATAAAAGCATCAACGACGAAATTGAATTCGTTAACTTTTGACGGTGATAGTTTCGTTAATGACATAACATCGGGGAAAACAATTTTAACGAAAGAATATTTAAAATCTCATGTTAGTGAGTTCGTTGAAATTGAAAAAGAAGGTGGAATTAAGTTCGATCCACTGAATTTCATTTTCAGCTTAGCGAATGCGGGTGTTAGTTTCGCTGAATGGACAACTATACAGAGTGAAATAAATGCAATATGGACGTTTTTGGGGTCAAAAGCGGGAATGGGTGAGCTTGTAAATGCTGCAAGAACATTAGGTGAAACAGGAAATTTTGTAGATGGTTTTAAAAGACTTGTTTCAAATGTTTTAACAAACACAAAGAAATTATTTAGATATACCATACATAACGGACGGATTTTCGAACAGGTAGCAACAAACCCTCCGGTTATGGCTGCGTTGATGATGGTTAGAGATATAAAACCACGTAACGACGGGAACGAAGAACATGAACAACAGAGCCCAACGGGCTCAGAGCCACATAGTGGCGAGGATACTGGTCGGGTTATTCAAGACATTAAAAACGTGTATCCTGAAGTTATTGATTTATTTAGAGGAGTTAATGATTCAATTTCAAAACATTCTATAACCCTCGATGAAGAGAATAAATTAACAGATTATATATTCGTCATTATTGCAGAATTAATGAAGAGAATAAATGAAAAAGGAATTGGTGATATCATTAATGTCAGCGATGTAATGATGAAAAGAAATTTTGACTCATTATTTACAAAACCGAAAACAGAATATAGTCTTTATGACGTAATTACCGAATTAATGAAAAAGATTAATGATAATAAGAGTTCTGGCGGAAGAGTTGAATTAGAAGTGAATGATGTTAATGAGAAATTAGCCGAAAAAGCAGATAAAAACCACGTTCATTATATAACTTCAGACGAACAGATTATAACGGACTACCATGGATATTTAACACGAAGTGATGAAGCGAAGACAAAAAATGTTAATGAAAGAAGATATAAATACATTCGTGCTAAAGGTTATGACATAAGCTGTACTGTACAGTATGACACAGGTAAAGCACCAGAAGCATTTAGTTATAACGATGAAATTTATGCCTCTACTTTCTCTGTTAATGGTGTATTAGTTGAACCAAGATTTATGTTAAGAGTTAAGGCAAAAATAACGTTTGAAGATGCTATTAAAAGTAAAGCTGACAAAGTTGAACTTGACGCAACGAACAAAGTTTTGAAATCTCATAAACACAACATCTCCGATATAAATGAACTTCAAACTTCTTTAGACAGTAAAGCTGACAAGAACCATACACATAAATCCTTCACTACTGTTAGAGCAGACGACATAATATTGAACTTTGACCTTGGTTCAAGTGCACCATTAGAAAATCCAAGTACAAGCGTAAAAGATACTCTTAACAGTTTAGATAACAGTTGCAGGAACATTGAAAGTCATGCCAGAAACTTTGAAGCACATGAACTACCAGCAATGTTAGATAAGAAAGCAGACAAGAACCATACACATAAATCCTTCACAACTGTTGCTATAGAAAGTATTGAAGGAACGGTTGAAGAAACTGGTGGGGAGGGCGGAGCCCCGCCGCACGCGGCTGCATTATATTGTAAACCTCCTAACTTTCCACAAGGTTTAACATCGGATGACGACATAACGACGATGAGAAACATTAGATGTAAAGATGTTTATGTCATGAAGGATGAACATAATATTAAATTCACTGCTCAAGATTTATATGACAAGAAAGCAGACAAGAACCATACACATAAATCCTTCACTACTGTTAGAGCAGACGACATAATATTGAACTTTGACCTTGGTTCAAGTGCACCTTTAGAGAATCCGAGTACAAGCGTAAAAGATACTCTTAACAATTTAGATAAGAGTTGCAGGAATACCGAAGATCATGCCAGAAACTTTGAAGCATATGAACTACCAGCAATGTTAGACAAGAAAGCAGATAAAACTTATGTGGATGCAGAACTAACAAAGAAATTTTCGAAACCAGATACAATGACATTTACAACAGAAATTATAAATGGTGAACCAGCAACTCCATTTGAATTTGTTAGAGGTCTTCAACCAGATACTTTTGAATTTTTCTTGGATAATTCTATTGAACTAACATTACATTATAAAAGTGGAACAAATGCAACATTTCATCCGGGAGATACATTCCAAATGGTATTTAATGACATAAGTTCTTTAGAATATGTTTATAGAGTTATGAGCATATATGATTTAATATATCCTATAGGAGCTGTTTATACGTCTATGAATCCAATAAATCCAAACACTTTATTTGGTGGTAGATGGTATGAAATAGTTGACAGTTTTCCATTCTACACTAATACGCAGTCAATGAAGATGGGAGGTTCAAAGAAAATAGGTATTGAAAACCTTCCTTCACATATGCATAGGTTCAGTGGAAGAACATCTGTGGAAGGAAACCATTCACATTCAATAACAAAAAGAGGTTATACAAATCTTGCAGCGGGTTCGGATAGACAGGGAATGCACAGATATGATATCACAACTGACCCCAAAGATGTTAGCACAGGTATTTTCTGTGGAACTGCAGGAAATCATACACATGTTGTAGCTGGTATTACAGACCCAGCAGGTAATGGAAAAGATTATATGCCTCCTTATATAACAATGCACGCTTGGATACGAGTTGGTTAAAATCTTTAACTTTACATAAATGAGCTTGAAAGAAGTATTCGAACAACATCCATGGAGGTCATTTAAGAAGTTCAATGAAGCTGCAAAGAGTTCGGGATTTACTAACAGAGCTGAAGTGAAAAGGTTCTTTGACAAAAATGTTGTACATCAAACAAAAATAAATCCTTACGACTACTTTTTACCAATTTACTCCAACACTCCTGACGCATACCAATTTGACACTCTCATTCAAAGCAGAAAAGGAGGACATAAACCATTCCTCATCTTCATAAATGTTAACACTCGTAAAGCATATGCGTATATAATGAGAAATAAAGGAACTCATGAAGTGTTAAGAGTTTTACAAAAGTTTGTAGCAGAACATAGCCCAAGTACTTTAACATCAGACCAAGACGGTGCATACCTCAGCAATGAAATCACAGATTTTCTCATTAAGCATAACATAACTCACTACACTACTGAAGACCATAACCATAACATACTCGGTATCATTAACCGCTTCATAAGGACTCTCAGAGATTTAAATCAAGAGCGAGACTTTACCGAAGAAACAATGAAACATTTTCTCGAAGTATATAATTCCTCAACACATTCTACAACAGGACATACACCAAATTCAATGACACAACAACAAGAAGAAAAGTATATACAAAAGAAACTAAGTCAAACACAAAATATCAGAAATTCAAACAATTTACCCTCATTCCTGGTACAAAAGTTCGTGTAGTTCTTGACGACAAACCATTGACAAAGAAACGTTTAAGGTTAAGTCGAAATTATTATATCGTAGACTCTACGCAAGGTAATGGATATCTTATAAAAGCTGCTGACGACTCCATAGCATTTTACCCTCGACATAAATTAGTCGAAAGTAGTAATGGCAAACTTGCTGAAACCATTGACGAAGCAAAGCGAGGAGTGGTTATTGAAATACTTGACTATAACACAAACGATGACACTTATAAAGTAAGATATGAAGGAGGCGTTGAAGATGTTATACCATCTAAGAACTTGAGAGAATCTAAACCAACTCATCTGGGACCATTAGAGCGGGAGTACTGGAAAGATAAAAACATGCCAGAAAGAAATAAGAAAATTCTTCTAAACTTTTTCGTTGGATGTAAATCAGACATGAATGAGAACAGTCATGTATTATTAATGGTACCATTTATTTTTGTCATAAATTTACACCAAAAATATAATTGAGGTGAAGAGGTGAGATTTCACCTGTTTTCTCACCTCTTTTTTCACCTCTTGAATTTTTATAACATTCGGTCATAACTTCATCAATTTCATTTAAATCACGATTTAAAAACTCATTGACTTCATCTTCAACCGTGTCATCTTGTAATAAGAATATTTTCTTTAGTTTCATGTCAACATCCCGAACAGCACAAAGGATAAAATCATATTCATTTCTTCCGTTAAACATACTTTTTCTTTCTCGTTCATCGTTAAATAAATTATTGAAAATATAAACAGCGGTGTAAAAGTTATGTACTGTGTTAAATGTTGAAGCTTCACCTATTTTAGATTTTAGGATTCTTTTAGTAAGTAAATTGTTATCGTTCTTTCTCTTTTCCTTATCGTTCATGTCGAATCTGTCGAACCACATATCCTGTATTTCATCGAATTTACGAACTATAGAATCCGTCATTTCCCTGGTTAATGAGGGGTAATCATTATTAATTTTTTCATATAATTTGTCCATATGATTTTCATCGACGTTTCCGGAAAGCATTTAATTAAAGCAAAAATATATTATAGGTGAAGAGGTGAGATGTCACCTCTTTTTTCACCTGTTTTCTCACCCCAGTTTTTCACAAGCGTTTTACATGAATTGTACGATGTATATTTGAAATCCTAAACAATTTCGTAGCTTCTATTTCTTCTGTCAGTATGTCAAAAGTTTTAACAATGCCGAAAGTTTCTTTATATTTCTTCTTGACGTCAGATAGAAGGAAATCGTCAGCAGTTGGATAGTTTTTGTTCAGAAATGCTAACATGTCCATTTTATTTTCTGCTGGCTTTTCTGCTTCTTTCTTTAAGTCTGCATAGTCGTTTCGCATTCTTTCTATCTCTTTGACGGAGTAGTTATATTTCCTAATTGCTGCTTTACATTTAGAACATTGCGGGTTCATTTTTGCGTTATACATTGAAACCTTACCTGCTAAAACAACTAAAGCGTCAATGGTTTTCTTTAACTCAAAAGCAGTTGGTCTTATCTGTTCGTTCCATATTTTACCTCTTCTATCTTTATCTCTTATCTGCCATACACATTCAGCAACTAACGAAACAAAGTTATCGTAGGTCTTAAACTCCCCGGATTTATATATGTCAGAAACATTCTTATATACCATGTCGCAATCTTTGTCCATAACCTTATGGTTGCAATGAAATCCTAGAAACTCATAGTTTACCTTTCGAATGAACTTCTTTATTTCTACTGAGTCAGTTGGTTTCACTTCTATTTCATCGAATTCAGGAATAGTTAGTTTTTGATGCTGAATTTCAGGTAGTTTAGGTAAATGGTCAATAATGTCCTGCATTTCATAAAGATACTGTTCATTTGTTTCATCTTTCGCACTACAGTCTAAATTACTTGTTAAAAGTTCTTGCTTTATCTTCTGGATTTTTGTTTCGAAAGTATATGAAGAAGGAATGAAGCTTTTCATCTCTACTAACATAGATGTTGGATTCATGACTAACGAGTTTGGTGAAGTTGTTGTGGACAGAGTCCCGCCGTTCGCGGCTTGAATTGTTGTTGTGCCGATTGTTGAAATCATATCTTTACATACAAAATAAAAAAATAAATAAAAAAAAACTAACGTTATTTTTCTATCTTAAGGAAATTCATGAAAATTCAAGACCCTTTTGGGTCTCGCCGCTTAGCGGCTGAGGGTGAGAAATTAGGTGAAAAAAGAGGTGACATCTCACCTAGCCGCTTTGCGGCTCTGACCCTTTGGGTCTCTTCACCTATAATATATTTTTGGTCATTTACACTCATTTACGAAGAAGTTATGACAAAGCATTTACGAAGAAGTTATGACAAAGCATTTACGAAGAAGTTATGACAAAGCATTTACGAAGAAGTTATGACAAAGCATTTACGAAGAAGTTATGACAAAGTCACGAGGGTGAAAAAAGAGGTGAGAAAACAGGTGAAATCTCACCTAGCCGCTTTGCGGCTCTGACCCTTTGGGTCTCTTCACCTAAATTATGGGCTTCGCCCTTGCCGCTAGCGGCTTATTTTTGGTCAAAGCTTCCACGAGAGAAAAGATTCCTCATTCGCTAAGGATTCCAAAAATGAAAAAATCATTGATTTTCGGCTGAGAAAAAACAGCAAAACCTTCTTCCACGGGAACAAAGAAATAAAGAAGAAATAAAGTAAATTTTTTATTTATTCCCGTGGAAGATAGAGCACTTTTATGATACTTTTTATTCACGACAAACAAGACAAATAAAGAAAATAAGAAAATACGGCGCTGTCGCGGTTCGAACCACAGACCTTGACCCCTCCATAACACCACCTTAGACCATTGTGCTACGTAGCCTGTCGACATAAGATTTTATAAATTGCATATTTGACGTAAATTTATTTCCATCTGGCTTCCCACTGCATAAGATATTCATACGTGTTTGTAAGACATTCATTAAACTTCTTTTCTATTGCATCTAATCTTGCGTTATTTTTTTCAATAACTTGTCTGTATTCTTCATCATCTCCAGCAGTGTTTGGGTCTTCACGTTTAAAATATTCATTGTTAACCAATTTTTTATCTACAAATTTTATTAGTGTTTGATTCACTTCGTTATGATAACGGTCATATTCTTTCAATACGTAAGTGAAGACAAAATGCGTCGTACCTTCAATCTTAAAGCTTAAAGAACTTTCAACACAGTTTTTGAGGGTCTGTCAGTGCGTCAATGAGATAGTATTCGAAGTCAGTCAATAATCTTTTTAAAGTCATTTCATACAGGATAAAATTTAATGTTGTGAAGAAATAGTGTTTATCTCAGAAAAAATAAAGTTAGTTTTTATTTTATTTATTTTTTTATCCTGTATGTAAGAACAGTAATGTCAACATTAGAGAACACAACAACAGTTATAGTCATGAAGCCATAAATGAAGAATACGAATACATACAATATAACAAACAATTGAGACTCATTCGTTCTGTCAAAGATGACATGTACCAAATGCAAAGTATAATGAACGCTCTTCGTTCTACAAAGCAAGCATATCATTGGTTTGAAAACCAACAGGCAAAAGAACTTTTAGAAGAATTTCCTCATATGATTGCTTCCCTCGGAAAACCGAGGGAAGAGATTCCGTACGAAAATCGCAAGAATTTGGCACCTGGTTTGAAAGGTTATTATGTTCATAGACTTTTAGTAAATGCTGTAGCAATGTGGGCTTCACCTCGTTATGCTTGTTATATTTTCATGATGTTAGATGAACTATATAAAGCAGAACGTGGAGAGATGGAAAAGAAACTTCAAGCAAAAGATGAAGTCATTGAATCCAAAGACAAAAGCATACAGAAAAGAATACCACGTTCAGTACCAAAAGGAAAGGAAAAGAGTTATAAGTATATGATTTATACTGAAGAGTTGGAGAAAGAAGAAGATAGAGATATGGTTATGTTGCATTTAGTCAGAAGAAACAACAAAAGCTTTTACGACCTTGCTAAAATATATAAATCTGACAGAAACTGGTTCTATCGTGAAAACTTACCGATTTCAATGACACCGAATGAGCAAATAAAGAAATTGTCAAAAATACTCTTCCTCAAACACACTATGACATCAAAGGTTGCACAATACTTACCTTCAAAGAAGACTTAACATTACTGAAGGAAAAAATAACAGAATATTTCGATAACTTCAAAGAGGAAGAATGAAGTCACGACAACATTAACGAAGAAGTCACGACAACATTAACGAAGAGAGAATGAGGTGAAAAAACAGGTGATATCTCACCTCTTCACCAAAAATATATTTTTGGTTAAATAGCTTCAGGGTCAATTTCTTCAACCATTTCACTTCTTCGTCAATGTCAATTGAAGCTTCTTCAACCTTTGGTAAGAACTTTTGTATAACATCTTTGTTCGTTATTGTCTTCAGAGATGAAGGATAATATTTCACAGATGTTTCACCCTTCTTATATTCTTTCTGTTCGGAAAGATTCATAGCAATACTGAAGAAGTCAATGTTGGAGTTCTTTATGACAGTATAGTGTGTATCTTTGACATTCACGAAGAAACCCTTTTGTTTCAAAACTACTGCTAACTCTTGTGAAGTATAACGTTTGCGGTCAATGACGATAGCTAATGGTCTGACATACTGACCAAACTTAGATTCTTTCACAAACTTCTTGTTAAAGATAACATTAACGTTTGAAGCATTATTGAACTCATTCTTGATGGCAGTAGCGAGAGCATTGTATGAAAAGAACTTGCAATCTTGCATGTGTTTCATTAAAATAAAAATATTAAATTATTTTGAAAAATAACTTAAAAAAAATCTAATCTAATTTTTTCAAAAAATATTTTTTTTATTTCCTACTAAAGATGTATCGGAAGTTGTCTAAGTTAGAACACTCGGAAATAAAACAACTTCTTACAGAAGCTAATATAGATGTTGCAAAGCATTACGCAACAAACAAAAAAGCACTCGCTGACTTCATTAAAGACTATAATGGTGCAATAAGTTATGATAGAATTCATGAGTTCATAAAGCCGCAACGCGGCGAGGACGAAGTCCATGCAAGAGCATTTCCTTTAAATGACATTGCTATTGACTTATATCATAGACGTTCAATACCTCATGAAGTAAGAAGAGAAATGTTTGACATAACAAATGCAAACGTTGGTCATACTCGTAAAGCTCTTTCGCATGATGTTCGTCAAGAAATGTTTGACATAACAAATGCAAACGTTGGTGAAACAAGAAGAGCTGTACCTCATGAAGTAAGAAGAGAGATGTTTGACATAACAAAGCCGCATGACGGCGCGGGCGTAGCCCATGCGAACGTTGGTGAAACAAGAAGAAGAGACGACACACTGAAACAACAGAGAAGAGAGATGTTTAAAAGTGCTATAGAACAAGTTCGCAAAGCTAACGATGTCATTCGTTCCATTGACGACAAACCAAAAGAAGGTGAGAGATGGTTAAAGAAAGATGAAGAGAATAGGAAGAGAAATGTGAAGTCAGGCAATAGACTCATTGACTTTAACATCGAAGCTTTAGATGAACCAAACAGAGGATATTTACACAAACATTTCGGTAAGGTTTTCATGAGACTCTTAGAGAAAATTAAAATAAACTCCAACAGAGATGGATGGTATGTTATAAACTTGGTGGAAAGTATGAATGTTCTACGTTAAACCTCAATAATATTGGAACATTACTACATCAGCTCTTGAAGGAGAACTTTATATCAGAGATAGAAGCAAATGCTGCAGGTATTGTTGAAATGCACTATGACTTCTTCTTGACAAACATAAAGAATCTTACCGAAATAAAGATGTATGATTTAACAGAATATGAAGGCTTAACGATGTCAGATGTAAAGAAAGGCAAACCAAAAAAGAGACCATATAGAGATGAAAGCACACTGACAAATGACCAGAAAGCCATTTTGGAAGCTCTTAAGCAAACAGGAAACCCAGCACTTATAGAAAGCTTTTGGAAAGATAATGGTGAAAAAGAAGTTTTATAAGAAGAGAAGCGGTCAGTTCTGGAAGTATCTTTGCACATTACCTATAAATCTTGAACGCTACCAAATCTTCAATGAACTGAACAAAAGAACTGCAACACTTATGACAGAGGACAATTGTTTCGTTTATGCTTGCATTCAGGCTGGAGTAATGAAGAAACTATTGACCACATGAGAGAAGTCATTCGTGTTAGAGACTTTCCTCAAAGTAAAGTACAAGAAATTTCCGATTCAACAGGTATAGCATTTAATGTTACCATTGGTTATTTCAATGACTCAAGACATAATGAAATAAAGAGATATATACCAAAAGAATGCGAAACTGTTAGAACTATTGACTTACTTCTTGTTGAAGACCACTACATGCTAAATGAAAGATTACCAATGACAACATACTTCATTCGAAACTATATAGAAATCTTGAAGGAGTGTGGTGGAATGAACATTGAGAAAACAGATGAAGATTTATACAAAGAGAGAAGATAAATATGTAGTTCGTTATGATAGAACAACACCGTTATGGATGTTATGAAAACATTGTGGAGTGCAAATATTTCGAACCTATTTCTTATGGAGAACTTTTCACATATACTACTGACTTATATAAACAGAACCTTGCACCATTTAAAGATTTGACATATCTCCAAAGTATTGTGTACAACTGAAGAAGAAAGCAGAGTCAAAAGAAGTAAATAAAGCTAAATGTAAATTCATTCCTGAGCACGTTTTCTTTGCTGACTTTGAGTGTAGCACAGACGGCTTTCATAAAGCTTTTAACATCTGACAGTGAAGATGGTTCAGTGAGTGAAAGCATTTGGGGTCAAAACTGTGCAACAGAATTTTGGAAAGACTTCCTGACAAGAGTTTAATATATTTTCCATAACCTCAGTTATGACATAAACTTCATCTTAAGACACATGACAGAAGTGAAAGGAACTCCCATCATTAAAGGTTCACGAACAATGCAAATAACTGGTTTATATAAAGGACGGGCAATTATTATAAAAGACTCTTACAGTGTTATAAATAAGAAGCTTAAACTATTTCCTGCTATGTTTAACTTACAAACAGGACCGAAAGAAGTATTTCCATATAACTACTACAGCAGTGTTTTGTTAGCAAATGACAACAGAACTGGTGTCATTTCTGAAGCATGTAAGTTTATCCATGATGCAGATACATTATGAAGAACATAGATTCCATCAAAGGTTGCAGAATAGATGAAAACCACTTCGACTTAGAAAAATATAGCACGTTTTACTGCAAACAAGATGTAAGAATTTTAAGAGAGGTTTTGTAAAGTTCCGCAATGACTTATTGAAAGAGTTTGATTTAAACGTTTATGACTACGTTAGTATTTGTTCTATTGCTAACAAATTGTTTGAGAACAGAGTATACTTCCCGAATGGAAATCTTTATGACCTCTCAAATAACCCAAGAGAATTTATTTCGAGATGCATTCAAGGTGGAAGATGTATGTTGTCAGATAACATGAAACAAAAGAGCAAAAAGAAACTCATTGCTGACTTCGACACTGTTTCATTATATCCTTCAGCTATAGCAAGACTTTATACTTTAGAAGGTATTCCAAAGTATTGAAGGAAGAAATGTTAAGCACAGAGTATCTCATGAGACATTTATTCGATGATGACCAAAAGGAACCCATTGGTGAAAAGTTTATGTCTGCTTCTTTGTTCTCATTAAGATAACAGAGATTGGTATACCCAGACACTTTCATTTAATAGTTTGCGACCCTGAACTAAATCCAGAACTTAACGTTCCAAGAAGTTCAAACACTTGCTGTCTCATGTATGTTGACCATATAACATTACAAGACCTCATAAAATATCAATGTGTCAAATGTGAAGTGTTGCAAGGATACTATTACGATGGAAACAGAGATATGAGAATAAGAGATGAAGTAAAGAAGTTGTTTGAGTTAAGGTTAAAGTATAAGAAAGAAGGAAATCCTTTGCAAGAAATTATAAAACTCATTCTGAACAGCATTTATGGCAAAACTATTCTATCTCCTATTGAGTCAAAAATAACCATAGTAAATGACAAAGATGCTATAAGATATGCTATAAGAAATTACAACCATATAGTGAAGTTCGAAGGTTTGGATGGTTCAGATAAAACTATTTTCAAGCTAACGAAAAGCATTTGCAGACACTTTAACTTCTGTCCACTTGGTGTTAATATTCTGTCTATGTCAAAACGTATTATGAATGAAGTATTCTGTACTGCTGAAGATATGGGTCTTCAAATCTTTTACCAGGACTGCGATAGCATGCATATTTTCAATGAAGACATCCCACTGTTAGCTCAGGAATTTCAGAAGAGATACGGTAGAGAACTTATTGGTAAAACATTAGGTCAATTTCATTCTGACTTCGCAGAAATAACACCTGGAAAACAAAGTTTAGCTTATAAAAGTATTTTCTGTGGAAAGAAGACCTACATAGACTTACTCACTAACGATTTAAATGAAGTTGCATTTCACTGCAGAATGAAAGGCGTGAAGCAAGATGTTATTGCTTTAACCGCTAATGAAATGTTTCCTGAAGCTATACAATGCTATTACAATGAAGATAAGAACATTCACATACCTGTTGGAACATATGACAAAGACTCTGAGTTCAGTTTAATGAAACTTTACAAAGCACTTTATGACGGTCAAGAGATTGCATTCGACTTATGTAAGTCATGTCAACCTTGCTTTGCTGAAAAGTTCAACTTTTCAATAACGACTAAAACAAGCTTTATTCGTAAGTTGAAGTTCTGAGGTCATGGGCTTCGCCCTTGCCGCTAGCGGCTTATTTTTGTCAGCAATGAGGTCATTCGTGATAAAAATAAAGCTAGCGTAGATTTTACAATACTGCGATGGTAGAGTTTAAGAGTTGTGCTTCAATGTAGAGACAGTCCTTCCCATCTGGAGGCAAGAACACTGGACATTTATGGTCATGAGTGGAGAACATGTCTATCCAAAACTCACGATTGAAGCCAGTTAATTTATAGTATTTAGGGTTAGGAAGTGGTGAAGTTCTTGTATGACCAATGAACTCATTTTCAACGCCTTTGGCTATATTAGAGTAAAGTATTGCTTGCTTTCTATCCCAAATGCCAGGTGTTACAATCTTTGAAAATTCATTTTTCCTCGGAAGCATTGCATCATAATTGAAAACATTCTTAAAATCATCACTTGGTTCAGAGATTTGAAACCTTATACGTAATGGATTTTCTTTCTTTTTAGCGACTTCATTGAATGGTGAGAATACAATGAATTGACAGTCATGAGTTCCATCTTCATTTTCATTAAATTCATAATGAAAGTCTATAAGTTGTGACTGACTACCTTCTTCTTTCAGTTGTGCAAGAAACTCACGTAAAGGCTGTAAAGTTTGTACTTCAATGTTGAACTTTTTCTCGAACATCTCATTAAATGAAATCATACATTGCAACAATGTTGTATCGTCTTTAAAGTATTTGTATATGTGAATGTTTTGGGCGCTTAAAGACTGTTCGTCATTTTCTATCTCGACTTGAAGTATAAAGTCAACCTTTCTGAAAGCACGTGTTATATACATAGATGTTATGCCAATGTACTTCTCTTCATTTATGTTCACAATCCAGTCTGTTGGAAACTTAAACGTTACTCTGTTCCCCTTTATTTTGACGTCAGGGTTTTCACTACTGAACGCAACAGATAAAGGTATTTGTCTATACATTTAATTCGGATAAAAATAAACCATTTACTCTTTCTTTGCTTCAGCTTCCTTTGCTTTTTGTTCTTCCTTTGCTTTTGCTTCTTCTCTAGCTTTTTTCGCCAGCAAACGTGGGTTCTTCTGTCTTCCAGCAGCTAATGCAGCTAGTTGTTTTTCACTAAGTTTTCTCTTTGGTCTCTCTGGCTTTTGTTCTTGTTTTTGTTCCTTCAGTTCGGATAAAATTTGCTCGCGAATTTCTTTCTTCAATGCTTCAACATCTATGACCCCTTGGGTCTTGTCCATATGACTTGTCTGAGTCATTTGACTGTAGATAAAAAACTAACTTAAAACTTTAACCGATGTAAAATGAGCTTGTCAAAATCAGAGCGAGAGTCTATTATATTAAATGACGCCAGAGGAATACAACATCCTTTCTATTACGTAAGTCAGAGTAAAGATGGTAAAATATACGTAAGAAAAAGAAAGGTACCATTAGCGAATGCAGAGAGCGACAACATTAAGGTGCATGGCAAGGGTGAAGTCCACGAAGCCCATGTTAAGCCTTCTATTCAAACTGAAAAGTCAATAGAACCAGAAGAAAAGAAGCCAGATGTTCTTTCAATAACGAACAAGAGCTTATTGCAAAGTTCGTGAATTTCATTGAAAAACAAACCGAGTCAAAGAACCCTGACCCACCAGTGAAAGAAGTTGAGACAAAAGAGAATGTACAGTTCATTGAAAATGTCAAGAAACAACTTCCACCACGAATACCAAGAAGAAGAGTGAGAATAATGAAGTAAATAGATATTTTTATCTGAAGTAAATACATGCAGAACGAACAGTTAAACGAATTTACTCCAGCAGAGCATATTCATCAGATTCGCTCATATTTTCGATATCATAGACAATGCAGTTCAAATTGGTGACACTAATAGAAAATATTCTGACGCAAAGATTCC